GTTATGCAAATAAAACAAACTCTAATGGTCATGACAGTCCAGGTCGTACCAGGGTAGAGCCCGGCTGAAACTGAAGCGAAAACAATCTGGTTCGATAACGGAATGAGTTTATCGCGAGCGTGCGCTCCATTGCAAGCACACGATGTTTGCAGATTGCCGCGTACGCGACGCCGCGTGGTCCCAAAGACCGTTTCCCTTCCTTAGGACCAGCGATTTGGCGAACCGATCATTATGGGTCTTGAGATTGATAAGTATGTTTTCCTTTTCGCGCATTCTCATATATCGCCGATTCTTCCAAATAACGAATTTCCATATTCGGAAAGTATGAACACGGTGTTTTCGTCGGATATGAAACATTTCCACATTCAGACAGCGTATGGTTTTCGTAGATACGGCTGCTGGAAAATTCGTTCATCGTTCAGCAAAGAAGGGAAGGAAGGAAGCGATATATTCTTCCCGAGAGCTATCCGCAAGTAAAAACATTTCAAAGTAATAGGCAATATATGAGGTGTAATCGATTCCTTGTGTTCTTCAGGTACGGAGAAGATATGGTTGTTATGGACAAATCTGGTAGATTCATGTGCTTTTCCATGAATGGAGAATACAAAGGATTGCTGGCGGAGATCGACGCTTACATTGCAAATGGATTCTGTATCAAGGATAACGCTGCTCTCATAGCATTCAGTGGAGTAGTCCTAGATCAGGTAGGTTACGTATCGCTCGGTGCAGCCGCTGTAGTAAGAAGCCATGTCCTCACCGGTTTACGTGAAATTGTTGAGAAAAGAATAGATTATTGTGTAAACATGCGCGGGGGTTTTCATGCTTTGCAAATGTTGACTTTTAGGAACTGTCAGATATGCCATCCGCCTAAGGTGCGTACTGAATCGTTTAACCATCGACTCCTTATTACCGATTTTCCAAAGTCGCCTATTAACCAGATCGCTCTGTATTCTTGCTATCATAATTCTCCAGAAACACGATCCTTGTTAATCGCGGGGTCTCCGCAACCTCAAACTACTCTCAGTCTCAGGAAGAAGAAGCTGTGTGTATATGTAAAGTTTATGTGTCGACAGGGTACAGCATCGTTGTGTGAATACACATAGGGTGTCGATATTTGGAGGTTGTTAGGGGAGTGAGGGGGTCGTTTGTAGCTTGAGAAAAGTTCCGTGTAGGGAAAAAGTTTTCCTGTGTTTTCGCATATGATTTTTTCTCCTTGATTTCTGTTGTTCACTATATACGCCCTTCCCCCCCCCCGGCGAGAAAAATCTGTTGGTGAAAAGCTGGAATGTGGGAAATTGGTAGGCAGGTGCTGGGGAAGAGGGGCGTGTACCGAAACCTTCCCTTGGGTGGGGGTGGGAGTCGAACCAAAACCCTCCCTCGAGTGGGGTCGTACCGACACCGCCATTACACACATCGCGATGCTGTACTCTGTGTGTCGATTGCAGCCCAATGCCGCCCATTCGCTCAGCAATTTTGTGCCTAGTTCTCTCCTTTGCCTATTTGTTAGGAGTGGAAGCGCCCTAGTCGGCAAATCGCGACATGGAAGCTCCATTGCCAATGCGTGAACCGCCGAACAACATAATTGGACACGTTCATCCAATGGTTTGTTTATACAGTCGAGCGATTCGATCGCGCGATGGCGAAGTCTGAACGCGCCCTTATGCTGCAAGAATGCCTCGATGCCCCAAAAAAGCATTTGAGGGCAGGTTCGCTTTATAGAGATGGTCACGATTTGGCAATCGCACTTGTGTTTGAATATTCACGTACTCTACCCACTGATTGATTTCCTTATGAGTCGTGCAGTTTTTAATCTGAAACATTGCAGAATTTCTTGCGTTTGTATGAGAATCGTTACGTAAATAACACCTCGCATTCCAATTCCTTCATAGGAGCAATGTGTAGTCCTACAAACATTGCCAGCATCGCGGTTTGTGATAAAGCGCTGTTTCATTTGGATACCTCCCTCTGAACGATCACGGGATTGCCCCGTTCTGCGGTTCGCTTGGAATTCGGGTTCCACACTCCCACCCACTGCCAACTCTGCTTGTTCTCCTTTCCCCAGTTTTGCTTTAATCGTCCGCGTAGGCCCCTCATCTTCGTCTCTGTTTATCATCGTGCTCTTCAAGAAATGTAAAGTCTTGCTCACTATGGATCCCTGGGATTAGTGTTTGGTACCGGAATTCTAGGTGTGGATGAAAGATTTGAGTTGTATTTGTGGCTGGTCCCCGCAAATCAGTGAATAAGCCAAGTCACATAAAAATGCCATCGCTTTTCCTAATGGAAGTAGAATGAGTGGCGCATTCTAAAAAGATACTGGATAGCGAAAACTTTGTCCATTTTGTCCTGTACATCATTGCACGTTTCAGGAAAATAGAACGATTTGCGATGATTGGTTGGAGTGGATTAATTTGGACGGGTCATCATGGCGAAAACAACGAGAGCAGCAAAAAGAGGCGGCCAAGTCTTGAGTATAATCGATTTTGCCTGTCTTAGGTTTATTGCTCAAAATCGAAGTCACTTAAACATCACTGACACATTTTCTAGTCAGATTTTCTTATGGTGTACAAAAGGTAGCTGGCAGCGTTATTGTTTCCTATTGTTTTTGTTCCGCTTTATGTCATTTGATTCCAGAGTTGAAAACTGTGATTGATCATACGTTCCGCTAATTTATTGAATAAAATCAAAAAATCTCTATCGGGTAAAAAATTGAAAAAAAAACAGTAGTGGTCAAATAGACAAACAAATGAATAACAAATGTATCGTGGAACATTAGCGGTCCAGTAGATACAAATCCCTGAGATGCGGTAGGCGTTCCGCGTACTTGAATTGAACGCGGCGACGGCCAAAGTTTTCGTGAGATATTTTCATTTTGGGACAGCTGTAATTATGACTTTGTTCAACACATGACAAGATGACGGTTGTCCCAAACTGAATATCCAACGAGTAATCCATCCTGTTCCACATTCAAATGCCACACCTTCTCCGTCTCAGGGATAAGGACTGTATCCTCGGACATGATGCCGCTGTCGATTAGATGTCAAGCCAAATACGGTTTCTGGAAGCGTTCATGGTTGAAATTGGGCTTCAGAGAGTCAAAAACATTCCTGTACTGCAGAATCGTAGAGTGATCAAGTGAGAAATCGTAGTTGCGGCGTTGCGATGTCGCTAAACCGATGAGACTGCACTCACACTGCATTGGGCGTCGCGTGCGCGGCATTCGCACCATGCCATAATTGGTCTGATCAGAAGCTCTTGGTGCAGATAATTTACCGCACACTTATACAATGACTAACATTACAGAAAAATTAAAAGTATGGTGCTGTCCCGGAGTCTCATTACTCATCTGAATGTGTATCAACAATGTGAAACTCCAAAAGTTTATTCCAAAAAACTCAAAAGACAGCAAAAGTCTCAAAAGTTTTTCAAAATATATCTTATCTGGCTATATTTCGGTGCGTAGCACCTTCTTCAGGCCTGAAATTATTTAGCTTGTTTTATGCAGAATATAAGCCTACAGAGATGTAACCCGCACGGACTCCTCCCATACGAGGCACTTACCGAAATATCCTGGCAAATTAGCCAACCCACCCTAACCACACCCTTAAATAGTGGGATGTGACGCGATCACATTATGACTTGCATAATGTCACGTAGTTCCTCCCTATTGTTTATTTGGGGTAACACAATCAAAAAACGTTTTAGGTCGAAAGTTAGATCAAGAGGTGGTGAGAAGATTTATATCATACGCGCCGTGCGTACCCACCTTCTACTCGCTGGTCAAAACCCACAAAATCGTCGGTATCGCTCCAAATAATCTCACCGATAGGGACATCAAAACTCGCCCCATAATCTCCTGTTGTGGTGGACCAGCAGATAAAATTAGCTGGTTATTGGTCAAGTTCTTCTCCCCACTCTTACGCCACATCACCTCACATTTAACAAACACCAGGGATTTCATTACATGCCTCAACCAATGCCATATTCCCGCCGATGCATGTTATGCCAGCTTTGATGCCGTTTCGCTCTACACCAACGTGAACACTCAAGATGCTATAGAAGCTTTGCTAACCCTCTGGAGGCAGTACAAGGAAGAAACATACACCTTTGGCCTAGACGAAAATGACCTGAGGGAGTTACTCAGAGCAACGCTGGACAGCAACATATTCCAATTCAACGGGAGATTTTATGTCCAGCATCGAGGTTTGGCCATGGGATCACGAATAGCACCACTACTGGCCATTGTGTACCTGGACTTTGTGGAACGAAGATCACTGACAGCTGGCATAATCTTCTATAAGCGATATATCGACGACGTGTTCATAATTGGCTCGTCTGGAGCGGAATTGGACGGGACCCTTCTCAATTTGAATTCGCAGGACCCTAACATTAGGTTCACTGTGGAGAACCCTAACAATGAAGGATTTGTCCCATTCTTGAACACCAAGGTTCGGATCAGAAATGGTACCACGGAGTTATCCTGGTATAGAAAGCCAGCTTCGAAGAACGTGTTGCTGCATGCTAGAAGTGGTCACCCCTGTACATGAAAGCCAATGTTGTCCGGAATATGGTGATCACTAAGGACAAAATATGCACCCAGCAGTCATCAGAAGCAGACTCGATGGTGGATAGAATTCTAAAAGAGAATGGGTATACAAGCACCCGCACCCATACATGGAAACCGCATTCCACGGCGGACGGAATTCCCTTGGTATTACCTTACCTAAATGAAAGCACGGCATTAAAAGTAAATAATATTGTAAAGTGCTCACCACTTCCTATACGCCTAATATTTCGTCCTCCACCAAATTTAAAACGGCTCCTTACATTTTCCAGGCCTTATGAAGATAAATGTGGAAGGGCGGGCTGTAGTTACTGCAGTGATTCTAAAATCTGTCAACTCAGGGGGACAGTTTATCTGGTGGAATGTCAAGGATGCGGGCAAAAATATGTGGGAGAAACTGGGAGGCCCCTATACAAACGGATCGACGAACACCGGAGGGCGCTGGGAAATCCACCTTCTTACCCTAATAGCAGTTTCTCCCGGCATCGCATAATGGAGCACACTCACCAGACCCTCTTTAATGTCAAAGTACTACACCGCTCGGTAGAGAGCACAATGGAAAGGAAAATATTGGAGGCCTTGGAAATAAAACGGCTAACACCCCAAATAAACAATAGGGAGGAACTACGTGACATTATGCAAGTCATAATGTGATCGCGTCACATCCCACTATTTAAGGGTGTGGTTAGGGTGGGTTGGCTAATTTGCCAGGATATTTCGGTAAGTGCCTCGTATGGGGGAGTCCGTGCGGGTTACATCTCTGTAGGCTTATATTCTGCATAAAACAAGCTAAATAATTTCAGGCCTGAAGAAGGTGCTACGCACCGAAATATAGCCAGATAAGATATATTTTAAAAAACTTTTGAGACTTTTGCTGTCTTTTGAGTTTTTTGGAATAAACTTTTGGAGTTTCACATTGTTAATACACATTCAAATAGAAATAATCATAAATATGTTTCAAGACAGTGGCAAAACAGTACATTGCATCAATAGATTAAACCTTTTATCACTGATAACTATTATTATAAAACCATAGGTATTTCACTATAAAAACATCATTTATTATGTATTACCAGTCGATCACGCCGGCGACAAGCCGGGTGTCCCTTCTTTATCACGGCCCGGCTTCGCCAGGCACTTTTTCTTTAGGCGAGGTAGAGTGTGCAAAATACGCCAAACCGTCACAGTTCATTTTCCAGCAAAATGTAGAAAAATAGTTGGAAATAGCTCGAGCAATGGGTTAAAGTTGGATCAGCGAGTTGAAGTTGAAGTTGAACCGGCGCTATGATATTGTGTCAAGAGTTGCCGCAGACACCGGGCATAGACGATATATATGGTAGGATTGCAACCGTTTGTCCGTGGTAATGCGCTGAATTTTATCCTTTGGTCCATTCTCCAACGGTTTCCTTTTTCTGGAATGCACTCCCGCATTCGGGCAGTTTAACGCTTCGAATGGTCCTCTCTCAGATTGTTGATGAAAGATAGTCATAGACATAGTGATAAAGCCAGTTGCTGCAGTTCATGCCAACTGAGTAAACAACCGCCATGCTTCTGAACTCCAGTTGCTTTAGCGGCCGTACATGA